TTCAATTCCAGTCTAATTCACGCTAATCAATTCACTAAATCTAATCTTCTTTAGGTTCAAGTCCTTTTGCTTGGTTCATTAATCATATTGTTGAAAAATAATACTCCATTTTTTATTGGGATTTGGTGAATATAGGCTAACCTTGAATACATTGGTGTTATCGGCAACAATGCTAGCCGGAGTTGAGAGGAGTTAGGGCAATGGGTTGGTCATCGGAGTGGGGATGGCAAATGAGGGTGTGGTTAGAGCTGGTAGTGGTTGGATTGAAGGGGGGTTAGGGAGAGGGTATAGTTGGAATTAAGGTGAGGGTTCAAAAAGAAATGGAGGGGAGTCATTTAGTTGGGTGGGGGTTTAAAAAAGTGCGGAGTCAAAGAAAAAAAGTAAAAATAAATAGTAGGTCTCTAATTTAATCTTAAATAAATTTTTAACGAATTGAATACAAATTGAGTTCGACTAACTTTGTTTTCTTATAATATGTATGTTTATCGAATTGAGAAAAAAATTGTTTGAATTTGACCAAAAAATTAATTAATTTTAAAATATGATCAAGTTTTGGATTACTTGTTTCTTCATAAAGTGGAAAAAAATGAAATCAAACTAGTAAGTCATTTTAACTAGGTTTAATCCAAGTCAGAACTTCAGCGGAGCTCAAATGGCTATACTTATAAATTTCTAGGGAGAGTTTTCGAGTTGGGGTTTATGAAGAAACATGGCTCCCATGTGGGTCCATTTATTTTGGGTTATAGGATATGAGATTTTAATTAAGATAGATGTAAGGCTTATTAATATCGTGTTTGTTTGTAAAATAGGAAAGCAGATTCATAATATAGTGGGACTATGATAAACTTCCGCGAATGAAATTAGTAGTCTCCTGAAGTGATATTAGAAAAACAATCCCTTGGGATTAGAGAGAGATTTACTATTTTGTCCTCTATTATCCTACATAATTTACTCATTCTACTTGATTAGTATGATCTTTTTTCTATCATTTTTTTTTTAATTATTCTACCATTTTTTACTCCACCATTATTTATATCAAAATAATTTAATATAAAAATATAATAGTATAATAATATTTATAGGAAAAAAATATATTAAAAAAATAAAATAGTACCCAAAATATATATATTTATAAAATATATTTTTAATATTAAAATATGTAATGCATTTATTAGTTGATATAAGCCCAAATTTAATAGTAATGCAAAAAGAGTATTTGTGAAATTTTACATAGTTAATTACACTCTTATCTCTCAAAATAAACAGGAACTATTGGTAGTCCATTGTTTATCAAATAAATACAATTTTTCTTAGTTCCCTTACTAGCAGTCCTCTCATTAATAATCCCCTTACTAACAAATTTTACCCAACCTACCTCTAAAAACAAACGATTCTATCTGTGTTAACCTAACATATTATATTAAGGGCCCATTTGTTTTCAGAGATAGAATGGAAGAGATTGTTAGTGGGGGGACTATTAGTGAGGGGATTAAGAAAAATTATTTTTGTTTGATAACTAGTGGAATAGTAATAGTTCATGTTTGTTTTGAGAGATAGGAGAGGGATTAATCATGTAAAATTCCACAAATACCATTTGCATTATTATAAAATTTAGGCTTATACCAAGAATAAATAAATTTTGATTCAATGTTATTCTACTTTTTTTTTTAAATATTAAAAAAATTCAACTATCAATTTTTTTTACTCAATGTTATTCTTTTTTTTTATTTCTTTTTTATTATAATATTAATGAATCCAACTATCAATAAAATTTTACTCAATTATTTGTGCTTAATATTACATGAGCCATATTATGAGCCTTATTCCAAGTATTATAACAAATTTAGTAAGAAAAACAAAAGTAAAATAGTCAATTAACCCATAGTCCCAAGAAATTTATTTTTGAATACCACCCACCTCTCCTAAGCCACTACTAGTCCCCCATTCAAGGCCTTTCATAGTTCCATAAAACTTTTAATCTCATGGTCACTTTCCAAAATAAACACAATTTTTTAAAGGGCAAATTATACTAACAGTCCCTATAGTTTGAAACTTATGCCACTTTAATCCCTGACTTTTTAATTGTGATATATTTGAGGCTTTTCCCAAACTAAGCCTAGGTACTTACTTGTTTCCCAAACTAAGCCTAGTTTGGCCAAATTTTTCAAAATAAGCTAAAGCGTTTTTACAAAATACGTTTTCAGCATGTTTTTGACCCAAGCGGACAAAATAAACAAAATCATAAAAGCATGGTTAGAAAACACAACTTTAATTAAGAAAACGCTGTTGTTATTAGCGTTTTCAGGCTTAAAACAGAAAGCGTGATTTGTAACCACACTTTTAAAGAGATATTTACTTTTAACACAAAAAAAAACGTGATTTGGAACCACGTTTTTAGTTAAAATAGCTAACACCCTGTTTACTATTATTATTATTATTATTTTGATTGAAATTACCAACACCCTGTTTACTATTTGCTAAAAGAACCACGTTCTTTTCTTTTTCTTTTTTAATTTTTAATTTTTTATTTCTTGTTTTTATTTTTGTTTATCATCAATCTCTTTTAAATTATATTTGAATTATAAATTTAAATAAAAATTAAAAAAAAACAAAATAATAATGTAAATTAAGCAAATATTTAATTTATATTTTTTCATATTTTTTTTTGCTTTTATATTTTTAAAATCATAAGCGGTGATCATTGATTCAATGGTAAAATCCTAGTATAAAATCTTAGTCTCGGGATAATTACTTTGTGCACTATGTCAAAGGTTATCTTTTTTTTGAGTAATGTTAGGGACCCCAAATGTTTAACTAAATGTTTCACATGGTGAAATTAGATAATTTATTTTTTAAACAATTCATGCTGTTTATTTTTTTAAAAAAATTTATGTATAAATAATCATAAATAATTATAAATAAATTATCATAAATTGAATTCCACCACTCATAAATAATTTATACATAAAATTTTTAAACAATAATAAATTATCATAAATTTTATGTATAAACAATCATAAATAAAAGAGATCGATGATGGACAAAAATAAAAAATAAAAATTAAAAATTAAAAATTAAAAAAGAAGAAGAAAATTCTTTCAGCTAATAGTAAACAGGGTGTTAGTGATTTTAATCAAAATAATAATAATAATAATAGTAAAAAGGGTGTTAGCTATTTTAGCTAAAAACATGCTTTCAAATCACGTTTTTTTGTTAAAAGTAAATATTTCTTTAAAAACGTGGTTACAAATTACGCTTTCTGTTTTAAGCCTGAAAATGCTAATAGCAACAACGTTTTCTTAATTAAAGTCGTGTTTTCTAACAACACTTTTATGATTTTGTTTATTTTGTCCACCTGACCCAGAAATATGTTGAAAACGTGTTTTGTAAAAACGCTTCAGCTTATTTTGGAAAATTCGGCTAAACTAGGCTTAGTTTGGTAAATAAGTTAGTACCTAGGCCTAGTTTGGGAAAAGCCTCGACATATTTGACCATGAATTTTGAATCTTATTTTAAATAAGGACAATTGAAGATACCATTGCTTAATTTCAAGGGCAAAATAATCAATTTGATAAAATATAAACTAATTTGATAAAAATAAATATCAAAAAAATATTTTTGAATTTTTTAAAATTATTTCTACACACTAAAGATAAAATTAATATATATTTTAGACATTTATTTATTTATTTATTTTACCAAATTAATTTTTATTATGTGTTTGGATGATAATCACGTAATGGGTGATTATTTTTATTTCATTAAATTAGTTTATATTTTTTTTCAAAAGTCAAATATGGCGACAATTTTGATATCATTATTAAACTAATCAATTAAATCAAAAAAATTCAAAATTAAAAACATTTCATATATTAAATATATTGATTACACATTAAAATTCTAATAACCACTCATTACATAATCATCATCCAAACACATAATAAAGATTAATTTGGTAAAATAAATAAATAAATAAATAAATGTTTAAAAGATTTATCAATCTTACATAATTTTATCTTTTGTGGGTAGAAATAATTTTTTTAATTTTTTTTGACATTTATTTTTATTAAATTAGTTTATATTTTATCAAATTGACTATTTTGCCTTTGAAATTAAGTAATAATATTTTTCATTATCCTTATTTAGAACAAGATTCAAAATTTAAAATCAAATGTGTAACAATTAAAAAATCAAAAACCAAAATGACACGAAACCTAAACTATAGAAATTACAATAATGCTAGAGACCTCTAAAAACACACCTTTAAACACACCTCTAATGAGGTGAAAAAGGGAAAAAAAAATAAAAAAATCAAGACATATGACTGACAGTGGCAGTGGGTGGGACCCACTGCCACACCACTAGTGGTACCTCTAAATTAGAAGTCCCAAGCATTTTTCTAGAAATTATTAGCATAATTAACCTTTTTTTTTAAATCTCACCTCACTACTGGTGTCAAATTCCCAATCTCACCATCTAATACTAGAAACAAACGGGCCGAGCAAATTAACATGAGATATTTCTGTCCTTTTTTTCATTAGAGAGTCATGATAATTTTTTGGGCAAATTACAAACACCCCCTCGAGATTTGGTAAAAATATAGATTCCTCCCTGAGATTTGAGAAATTACAAATTGTCCCCTGAGGGTCAAATTTTCATAACAAATTAGGAAAAATTAGGGGGGAAATCTGTATGAAAATAAAAACCTCAGGGGGCAATTTGTTATGAAAATATAAATATCAGGAGGCGGGATGTAATTTCTCAAACCTCAGGAGAGAATCTATATTTTCACCAAACCTCGATGGGCTGTTTGTAATTTGCCCTAATTTTTTCATTATGGGCTGTTGCGAATTCTGAAATAGGCCCAGGCTCAATGTTTATGAACCATCACCCCTAAATCCTCATGGGCCGTTGCATCTTCCGAAGTTGGCCCAAACCCATTAATATATATTTCCTAACGGCTTAATTACACTTTCCATTCTTGACCGTGAAATTCAAATTCAAATTCGACCCTTCTCTCCCTCTCCCTCTCTCTCTCTCTCTCTCTCTCTCTCTCTCTGCACTGAGAGAGTTGTTTGTCTTGTCTCCAATGGCGGCCACAAACACCTTCATGACCACACCCACCAAAACCCCATCCGAAAAAACCAAGTCTTCTTCCTCCGTTTCCAGAAGGCAGCACCAACAATCAACAGACTCATCAATGTGGAACCGATCGGCCTCAGATTTCAAGACCCGATTCGAAGCCTTCAATCGCCTTCAGGCAGCCGCAGTTGCCTTCGAAGAGAAGCTCCCGATCCCCGAGATCGTAGCCATCGGCGGCCAGTCCGATGGCAAGAGCTCCCTCCTCGAAGCCCTTCTAGGGTTCCGATTCAATGTTCGCGAGGTCGAAATGGGCACCCGAAGGCCTCTCATCCTCCAAATGGTGCATGACCCAACCGCATTGGACCCCCGATGCCGCTTTCAGGTTCTTTCTCACATCGAATCAATTGGTTTTAGGGAACCTTTTCGGAATTTCTGCTTTAGCCAATTGTTCTATTTTGGGTCTACAGATGCTCACCCACACACCCACAGTTTCACTGGCTTCATATACACAAGATATTGAGATATTTTAACCTAAACAGGATGAGGATTCTGAAGAATATGGAAGCCCTGTTGTTTTGGCTTCTGCCATTGCAGATCTTATAAAGTCCCGGACTGAAGCACTTCTGAAGAAGACAAAAGCTGCAGTTTCTTCTAAACCTATTGTGATGAGAGCTGAGTATGCTCACTGTCCGAATCTCACCATTATTGATACACCGGGCTTTGTTCTCAAGGTAAGCAGATAGAGAATGAAGATTTGGTGAAGGAAGTTTTGAAATATCTGTAACTTTATAGCTTTTCTATTTGCATTTGAAGTAATAATTTTGAAACTGCATTGGTAGGCAAAGAAGGGCGAACCAGAGAACACGCCGGATGAAATTCTGTCAATGGTGAAGTCATTGGCTAGCCCACCCCATCGTATCGTCTTATTCCTTCAGCAGAGTAGTGTGGAATGGTGCTCGTCTTTGTGGTTGGATGCCATTCGTGAAATTGACCCAACATTTAGACGGACAGTAATTGTTGTCTCCAAATTTGATAACCGGCTCAAGGTATAAAATGCACTACTTTTCAATATATAAAAGGAAATGTAGAATACATTTTATCAATCGTTGGTACTTCTATGTGTTCTTTAATCGACTGAAAGTTTAAAATTCCTGATTCTGGTTGTTGTAATGTAAGAATTGCTTAGCAGAACAAAGGATGATATGCTTTACTGAATGCCAACTTAATTACTCAATTATGTGGAAACATTAACGAAATGGTATTGGAAACGTTATTTCCATATTGTCACATAATTTGATTTGTCACTTTTGATATTTTTACAATGCACAATTTAAATTTTATGATTTTGAGTATAAAAAAATTGACTTCAGGAGTTTAGTGACCGCTGGGAAGTTGATCGTTATTTGACTGCAAGTGGTTACCTTGGAGAGAATACTAGACCATTTTTTGTGGCCCTGCCGAAGGAAAGGAACACAGTTTCAAATGATGAATTCCGCAGACAAATATCTCAGGTGGACCTAGAAATATTACGCCATCTGCGTGAGGGTGTTAAGGGGGGATTTGATGAAGAAAAGTTCAGGTCCCATATTGGTTTTGCTTGTCTCAGAGATTATTTGGAATCTGAGCTTCAAAAACGATACAAAGAAGCAGCACCAGTGACTTTAGCTTTGCTTGAACAGCGCTGCAGCGAAGTCACTTCTGAATTGGCTAGAATGGACTCCAAATTAGAGGCTACTTCTGATGTTGCACATCTTCGGAGATCTGCAATGTTGCATGCTGCTTCCATCTGCAATCATGTGGTGTGTAAAATTTTATGTTTTAATATTTAACTTACTTTGCTCTTCAAGCTTATGAAATATTGATTTGTTGACTTCATACTTTATTCCTTGTGGACATGTATTTCGAGATTTTGAACTAATACTAATAGCACACATGGTTTCTCTTGTACGATTGCTGAAGGGAGCATTGATTGATGGAGCAGCTGATCCTGCCCCAGAGCAATTGGGGAAAACAACAGACGAGGAACAGTCAGATAGTGGTATTGGGAGCTGGCCTGGCGTTACAGCCAATATAAGACCTCCCAATGCAAGCCTTCGCCTGTATGGAGGAGCGGCTTTTGAAAGAGTTATGCATGAATTTCACTGTGCTACGTATTCTATCAAATGCCCCCCAGTATCAAGGGAGAAGGTATGTTTACTTCAACAACAATTTTTTATTTTTTATTTTTCAATTTATATTGGAATAGATGTTAGAATATTAAATTTGATATCCCGAGCTATAGGTGGCAAATATATTACTTGCCCATGCTGGCCGTGGTGGGAGTAGAGGAGTTACAGAAGCAGCTGCAGAGATTGCACGCGCTGCTGCCCGGTCGTGGCTTGCTCCTCTTCTGGACACAGCATGTGATCGGCTTGCCTTTGTTTTGGGGAACCTCTTTGATCTTGCAGTGGAGAGAAACCACCACCGAGATTCGGACCGTAAGAAGCTATTCAAATTTTCCCATTTCACAATTTCCATTAATCAATAGTTTTTTACTTTAAGTAAAACAAAAGAATGGGAACTAGCATTTTAAAATTCTTTCGTTATGGTTTTATGGATATCGTAAAATGATATTTGCTACTAGTTATTCAGTCATCTAAGTACAACAAGTTCACTTTAAAAAAAAAAATACATGATGGAATTTCTAGTCATTTTATGCTTAGTAAACAATGCACCTGCATCAATATTAGCTATTGCTTGTTCAAATTATTTTGTCATGTTTAAATATCAGAACTTTGATTGGTAGTGTCATTCTTATGGTCTCTGTGCTTCAGAACGTGAGAAAATGCTCAAATAGCAATATCTGCTATGGCGAAGAAACATAAAGACAAGGAAAACAAATAATAGTGAAAACCAGTTGCCCTGAAATTTGCTCTTTCACGATCATTATCTTTCCCCTTTTGGTTAGTGTTCGGCATTTTACAGGTTTTCTACTGGACCTAGTTATAGAAATATGGGTTATTCTTTTCATCCTGCAGATGGGTGGAAAACTGGAGATATGGACGGGTATGTTGGTTTTCACGCTGCTTTAAGGCACTCTTACAGCCGCTTTATAAAGGATCTTGCAAAACAGTGCAAGCAACTAGTTCGGCACCACCTTGATTCAGTTACAAGCCCATATTCTCAAGTCTGCTATGAGAATGATTTCCTGGGGGCTTATGGCTCAGGTGCAAACTCTATTTACAGATTCAGCCAAGCTTCAGCTACTTCATTTTGTCTTGAGCTATCTGATGGGGGAGCTGCATTGCGAGATGAAACCACGAAAGACCAAGAGAACATACCTCCAGAAAAGACTGTTGCCGAGCAAATCACACCAGGAAAAGTTGCAGAAGCCAGAGAATGCCAAATGACTGTACCTGAGACTCCTTCACCAGATCAGCCTAACGATGGAAATTATATTGGAGTTAAGAAGGAACTTGGAAACTGCATTGAGATTGGAGCCAAAAAAAGGCATCCTAGAATAATGGGCAATAGTAAAAATTTGGATCATTTACGAGTTCAAAATGGTGTTGGCCTTCTATTTGAGAGTGGGGATAGCAATTCAAGATCGGGGTCAGCTTACACAGAGATCTGTTCTTTAGCTGCACAGCATTTTGCACGCATACGTGAAGTTCTGGTTGAGCGGAGTGTGACATCCACTTTGAACTCTGGCTTCTTAACCCCTTGGTAAGCTACTAACCTTCTCCTTGGTAGTATCTATTTATGTCCACAGGGCATGCATATCCTCACCAGTATTCAGAATCTGTTTAACAGGAAAATATTATTAGCTTATTTCATTGATTGTTCATAATGTAAGTACATCTAGTTGTTAGTGCTTTGCTTTGCTTTTCTTTTCCCAAAACAAGGTGGCGCATGATGATCACTGTTCTGTGAGAATATTTTGTGTAACTTACGACTATTATGTAAATATGGAATTAGGTTTGTATTTCCTATTCTAGATTAGGGTTAGGATTCCTATAAATATTGGTTGTAATCTTTGTATTATTTACAAGTTGAATACGTTTACAATTCTCTCATAGATCTCAAAATGTCATTAGACGCTTTTGGGCTCAATAGGAGACTAAGGCCTAGTTTGGGAAGACTAAATAAGTGCACTTTTTGACTTTTTTTGTATTATGTGTAGAAAAAGTAGAGAGGAGATGTTGATTGATGTGACCCAAAAAAGATAAAAAGATGAAATAAGTGCACTTTTTTCTCTGTAGCCAAACTTGTTTCATTTGATTTGCCAACTTGTCTACTTTGTGAATAAATGTGTTTCACTGACTTACTTTGGGAGCTTGCTCTTTCTGTTCACATTATGTTCAATGCATACGCCTGGAATACATTTAGAAAAATGATATTCTTACATAATTTTATACAGATTTAAGGCAAGACTGATGTGGCAGTGACATCTTTGAAAGTATGAGCAATTTTGATGGGTCTTTTACTTAAAGTGTTTAGATCAAACCTTGCCACATCATTTTGCATTGATTTTATTTATGTACAGTTTCTGTTCACATGGCACTTGCACTACTCATAAATTTGTACACACTAAAACCAAATAATGATGCACCATCCTCATTCCTTGCTTCCCTCTAGCTTTATTATGTTTTGCAGAATGAACTTGAGCTTTATTCATTAGTCTTCTCTGTAGATTTTTTGAAATGTTGCTTGATTGGCCAAGACATTAACCTTAGACAACTGGGTTATGAATTCAGAGAAATGAGTACTTGATTTTATCTGCGCGGGAAATTGTCATTTGGTGAGATGTCTAGGCTGCAAGCCTTGGGTCATTGTCTTTTATTTTTTCAACCAAATTGAGCCAATCTATAGTATTGCCATTGGGCCAATGATGCGAACTTCATTGATTTGCGGTTTACATTGATTTAGCAACTTATTATTTTGCTCTCTTTTATTTATGCAGCCGGGATCGTCTTGCAGTAGCACTTGGATTGGATTTGTTCGCTGTCAATGATGAGAAATTCATGGACTTGTTTGTTGCACCTGGAGCAATTGACATCCTGGAAAATGAGAGGCAGTCTCTACAGAAGCGTCAAAAAATACTGCACTCTTGCTTGAACGAGTTCAAAACTGTGGCACGCACGCTTTGATGCAAACCCCCGTGTCAAAACTGCATTGACTCACCCCACACTAGGATTGTTTTTAGGTTCACCATCTCATGAACATTTATGTTGAATGTTCAAGTGGGTTTTCTCAGGGTGAGTTGGTGCTTCCATTTAGTTCCTTCGACCCTTTATCCCTACTGATTGTAACTCGCTACCACTCCACTAGAAGTGACTGCAGAGAGGTTTCACACACATGGGCGGAGCCATGCATAAAGTAGTGGGTTCAATTGAACCCAACGAACTTTGATTTTTTTTTTTTTTTAAAGAATTATGTAATTCAAAAAAATAGATTTATCAAAAAAAAAAAAAAATTGTGTGTAAAAAATAATTAATTCTATACTTGTCATATTATATCATTATTTTGTTTAGCATACATAACTATTAATGGTTGAATATGAATGAAATTTGTATAGATATCATTATAATAAACCATTGTATATGCCATACATTAGATAGTAAATAAAATATGACGCACGAGTGTAGTCTTTTGAATAATGGTATTAAAAAAAATCATAATTTCTTTATTAGAATGATGTAATTTAATGTGAACTTTTTACTTCATAATAAAACACTCATGAAGATGCCTTTAATTTATAACATCATTTTTGTGAATTTTTTTGGATATAAATTTTATATATAAATAGAGTGTATAAAAAATAAAGAAAAATAGATTTCTTTTAAAGTAGGAAATTCTTTTTTGTTTACGAGTAGAAAAACAAGTAATATATTAAAAGAAAAACACTTCTTTACAAAGACTTCTTCTTTTTTTTTTTTTTTTTTTTTTTTTTTTTTTTCAAGAACAATCATTTTGGGCATGTTTGGTTTGTCTATCAAAATATGTTTTTGGAACCAAAAACATGTTTAGTTGAATTTTTTTTTTAAAAAAAATTCAAAATTACTTTTCCCTTTACTATACATGAATCAATCACTATTTTTTCTTTTTTCTCTCATTTTCAATCATTTTTTCTTTCACGCCAATTTTTTAAACTACAAAAAAATATCAAATCATTATAATTTCAAAACTATTTTCAAAATATATAATCAAACAAAATTTTAAATTTTCTAAACTCTCTCAATCTCATTGTCTTTAATTTTACAACAATGATTTAGACCACTAAAAAATACATCACTAATAATACTAATGCATTGAGAATAACAAAAAATTAAAAAAAATTAAAAAAACAAGGCATAGAAAGTAGGCAGGGTCTACTGCCACATCACTAGTGCTCTTTCTAGTGCTCCTTTTTTAGTGCTCCCAAACATTTTTCTTAATTTTATTGAAAAAATAGTATATCAGCGTACCTAAGTAAAGTTATGTAATTTGACTTAGTTTGAATTATTTTGAAATATTAGTGTACATGATATTTCAATATATTTATATTAATGTGAAATTTTATTTTGATGAGTGTTTTAGAATTAAAAATATGATGTAATGACATTGCTGATAACTGATTAAAATAAAAAAAAATTACTCATTAATCTCATTTGTAGAAAAGTTATTTCATTTAGTCCTAGAAGTTTTCTTTCAAATCAATTAATCCCTTTTACTTTAGGTATGTTATATTTTCTTGATTTGGGGGTTTAAAAATTTATCTATTTGCCCTTGTGTGTGATTTTGTTTGGATTTTTTTTCCTAATGTTGGATATGCGTGGGTAAGGTAAGTTTTTACGTTTCTATTTTTTTTTTGTGAGAATTTAGTAGGGTAATTTGTAGGTGGATAATGTTACCCCATTTATGATGTTATTGGTATGGTGTTCGTTTCTTTTTGTGGTGTTCGTTTCTTTTTGTAGTGTTCATCCCTATTGTAACATTGACATTAATTAACATCTAAACGTAAAATTAATGTAATACATAAAAAAAACTATTTATTGTACTTTTTCTCAATGTAACACTTCTAAAAAACTCCTTAGTGTAACACTCTAAAATAACACAAAAAAAAAAAATTCTTATTGTAACACTCTAATGTAACACACAAAATAACTCCTTGGTGTATTTTTTTTTTCCAAATGTAACACACTAACATAACACACAAAAAAATTCCTTAATGTAACAATCTAATGTAACACACACAAAAATTCCTTAGTATAACACTTTAATGTAACATACAAAAAAAATTTCTTGATGTACCTTTTGCAAATGTAACACTTTAATATAATACTCTAAAAAAACTCCTTACTGTAGCACTTTAATGTAATATACAAAAACTCTTTAGTATAACATTCTAATGTAACACAAAAAACTTTTTCTAAACGTAACACTTCTATATAACACTTCAAAATAATTTCTTAATACAACACTTCAATGTAATATACAATAAAACTCTTTGATATATTTTTCCCAAATGTAACAATCCGATGTAACACACAAAAAAATAAAAAAATTTCTTAGTGTACTTTCCTAAATATAACACTCCAATATAACATAAAAAAAAATAAAAAAAATAAAAAAATGAGAGATTCTTCAAACCATTCCAAAAGGAGTACAAATATTTCTTAGTAAATTTTGAACAAATGTATAATTTCAAACTGTGAGTGTTACATTTAAAAAAAATCCACTAAGGAGTTTTTTTAGTGTTTTTGTGTGTTACATTGGAGTATGTTACATTGAAGTGTTACGTTTGGAATTAGACTGATTGAAGTGTTACGTTTGAGAAAAGTACACTGAGATTTATTTTTTTTTTATACATTGGAGCGTTACGTTTGGGAAAAGTACACCAAATAATTTTTTTTTGAATGTTACGTTGTTACGTTTGAAAAAAGTATACTAAAGAGTTTTTTAGTGTGTTATATTAAAGTATTACGTTATTAGAGTGTTAGGTTTTTGTTCGTAATGTGAGATTTGTTCTACAATGAGGGAAAATTCAAAACTTTTATAATTCAATTTGCCCAAATGTATAATTTTACATTTTGGAAAAATCATTTTTATCACTAAAAAATTAAACCCAAACATATAAGTGACTACCTTTTATGTAATTTTCACTTTAATGAGATATTTAGGTTTATAAAAAAAAAATAGAGGACTAAACCGCTCATAAGATCACATTTTAAAATTTATTAGTACTTTACCTTAAAATACTGAAGAAATTTTTTGACTATGCCACTGTCTACACAAAATATCCACCAAATGAGGTTTGGAATATTAGAGGTTAATAGAAGATTCCATAACTCTACAAAAAGGGGTCAGTAAGTTTGTGTAAGGCTCTAAGAGAATTTCACATACCCGTTAATTGTAAATTCTAGATTATTCCTAGGAGGGTAAGGTTGTCTATATATATAGGGGAGGCCACGTTGGCTAAATTAGGAATGGTCATTTCTCCGCTCTACTCCACCCATGCACCCCCGGCCTTGCCCTGTACGGGTTTTTTTATGCTCCGATAAGAAAGTGGAGTGGAGACAAATTTTGCTTCCGCCACTCCAATTATACTTATTAAATATATTTTTATGTATATAATATATAATTTAAATGATATCGATATAATTGATTAAATGACAATCTTGAAAAAAATTTCTGGCCATACCACTGGTTTCGCACCTGATTTTCCAGTGTCTTCTCAGGTTGAGTTGCTTCCATTTGGTACAATGAAGATCATGATTATACATATTGATTGTGATTGTGCTATTTTTGGATCATTGCTTGTAGAACCATGCTCTTTTCTTGAGCTCTCATTTTACAATTTAAATGGTACGGTAGATATGGTGTTGCATCTGTCTGACAATGAACAACGCTAATTAGTGTGAGTTTTTAGTTGTGGTGGACATAAAATTTAATCCAATTTGTATATTTTTTGTGAGCATACATTTTTATACTTAACAATGATGTTTTTCTCATTTCTAACTTGGATGTGATCTTTCTCTTTCGCGCACACGTAGAGTGAAGAAGTTACTAACAATTATAACATTTTAGGATTTTGAAGAACACAAAAGGAAAGATTAAAATAAAGACAGACAGGTACATATCAGCACACCCTGTAAACTTTTCATGAACCATCATGCAACATGGATAGAAGTGGTCTCTGTTCATTGCTAATTGTCTGCATTCCCAAACACCAGGGACCCAGTCCAACCAGGTAAGACTATAATTTGTGTGGAATTTTACAATATTATACTTGGAGTAGATTATAATATGACCCCCCACCTTCCCGTACCTCATTATTAGTGTTAATTGCATTAGTAATCATTCAGTTTTTGGTTGCAAATCAAGTTCTACATAATTGAATTACCACCATATTGAACATTGTTTTGTTCAAGCCTTTTGGCTCAGTCACTCATGAGTCGTGTCAAATGTTCCTCAGTCAGGATTAAAAAATAAATATAATAAAGTCTATTATTAGAAGAGTGTGTCATAATTTCTCATCGATTTATAAAAGATTTGGTCATGTGAATATAAATTTCTTGGACATTCATAAATCGATTTTCAAGGGTGAATTCTATCCAAGAGAATTGTATCATTGTGGCATCAAAGCCAACCATAATGTCAATTATGGGATTAGATGCACCTATGCGAGTGTGGGATTAGACATCTGATCCAAGTTTGCTCTGTAGTTCTAGCCACAAAGGGGGCAATTAAGATATCTTGGTAAGGTGTTAAAAACTTATAGTTGAGTAATGTTGTCATAAGAGAAAGAGCCATCACGATTATCATCGAATTAATATTCTATAGAATAGGCCTTCATGGATGTTGATTGTAGAATATAGTGATATGTTACGATCTCACATCGGTTATTAGAGTGTGTCAAAATTTTGTATTGCAAGGATAATTTGTGTCATCAATGAGGACAAGTCTTTTTGTTCAAAATTTATGTACCTCATCAATAAGTAAGTGATTCAACTCTCCACTTCTATTTGAGTTTTTCTTTTAATGCTATATTTAGTTGAAGAATTTGAGAAATGATTTAAAAAGAGAAAGAAAAAAAATAGGTAAAATGTGAATAAAATATACCTATTTTCACTTAGTTTCATATAATTTTTTTTTTCTTTCTAAATTTTTTTCTAAATCTCTCAACCAAACATAGGAGAAAAGGAAAAAAAACTACACACAAAATAGAACGTATTTTGACATCATGATCAAAGTCCCTGACTCTTCCTCAATGAATAATGTTTTAGAGCACTAAATTAGGAGCTCTAGAGTATCACTAATGATGTGGCACAGTGGCCCCATCAAAGTGATGTGATGTTTTGGCTTGAGTTTGTTTGTTTTTTTTTTTTTTTTTTTTTTTTTTTTTTTTTTTTTTAAGCTCATTAGAGCTATTAGTGGTCCAAAAATTAGTAGGATGAATCACCACTCCTTCCTCAATAGGCTTACAAAAAAAATTATAATAGAAATTGAAA